GAGTTGTGTTTTTTTTTTTTTTTTTTTTACTCTTTTAATGCATTAGTGCTATTAGTGGTGATGTTTTTAGTGGAATGAATCATTGTTGATATATATAAGGGTTAAATTCATTTTATTCTCTTGTGGCATTCTTATACAATTTTAGACTAAAGCATTACTGTTAGTTTTTCTATCCAACCTAACAGAATGTGTATTACATACACAATTTTTTAGAGTAGATTTGGTTTTCTAAGAAATTAAAGTAAAATTAATACAACAAAAAGATAAATTTACCCCTATTTTCTCCAAACTTAAAATTAAATTAATATGTTAATTAAAATATTATTAAGAATTGATCTAAAATATAAAATATAAAATAAATAATAATTAAGAATTGAACTAAAATATAATTAAATTAAAATGAGATTAATATTTTAGGAATTATAATAAATAATAAGAATTTAAGATTAATTGTGATTTAAAATATTAAATTAAAATTAGATTAAAAAGTTAGTAATTATAATAAATAATTAAATATTTAGGATTAATTGTGATATAAAATATAATAAATTAAAATTAGAATAAAAAGTTAAAAAGTATAATAAATAATCAAGAATTTATAATTAAATGTGATTTAATTAAATTACTATTAACCATTATAAATTAAGTGTATTAGAGCGAAGAAAGAAAAAAAATAATAAAAAAATATAGGATATGAGTGTTTATAGTCATCTTATATTTATAGTTAATGGTATTAACTGTTGTATTTTAATTCAAAATCATATGAAATTTTTTTAATTATATTTGAACGATAAAAAGTAAAGTATTTTGACCTCAAATGACAAAGGGTAAAATAAATTTAACCCTACAAATATTTTTAAAAAAAAATACAACCAAAATTACACTAAAAAAAAAACTCACATTTTAATAAATAATTTGTCACTTCTCACAGCAGAGTTATTTTAAGAAAAATGCTTGAGAGCACTAAAAATGGAGCACTAGAAAGAGCACTAATGATATGGCAGTGGGCCCTGCCCACTTTCTATGCCTTGTTTCTTTTTTTTTTTTTCTTTTTTTTTACCATTCCCAATGCATTAGTGCTATTAGTGATGTATTTTTTAGTGGTCTAAATCATTGTTGTTATTTTAATGGTTACATGACAATAAAGCTACCACTTTTTTGCACAAAAAAACAATGGCCATGGTCTTTCTCAAAAAAAGTACCGGATACTTAGGTCTCATTTGGCAAGTGTTTTTTTTAGTTAAAAATTTAAAAAGTTATTAAAAAAATCAAAAAGCTAACAATTTATACCAAAAAGTCAAAGATTCTTTTTTTTCTTTACTTTTTGCACATCTTTTCATAAAAAATCAAAAAGTCATCCCAAACATACTAATTTTTTTCACATCACATTTTAGCCAAAAAGTTACTAAAAAAACATATTTCCAAACGAGGCCTTAGTACTGCATTAAGAGCATCCCACAGTTTTTCTAGATTTTATCTTAAAATATTATTAAAAAAGTTATTTCTTATTTTGGAAATTACTTTTTCATTTATTTCTCCTAACAGACTTTCTATTCTTTCTCTATTCTATTAACAAATTCTTTATTTTTTCTTTATTTTATTAAAATATAATTTTTATTTATAAATTTATAAAATATAAAATAAATAATAATTAAGAATTGAACTAAAATATAATTAAATTAAAATGAGATTAATATTTTAGGAATTATAATAAATAATAAGAATTTAAGATTAATTGTGATTTAAAATATTAAATTAAAATTAGATTAAAAAGTTAGTAATTATAATAAATAATTAAATATTTAGGATTAATTGTGATATAAAATATAATAAATTAAAATTAGAATAAAAAGTTAAAAAGTATAATAAATAATCAAGAATTTATAATTAAATGTGATTTAATTAAATTAATATTAAACATTATAAATTATGTGTATTAGAGCGAAGAAAGAAAGAAAATAATAAAAAAATATAGGATATGAGTGTTTATAGTCATCTTATATTTATAGTTAATGATTAAACTGTTGTATTTTAATTCAAAATCATATGAAATTTTTTTAATTATATTTGAACGATAAAAAAGTAAAGTATTTTGACCTCAACCGACAAAGGGTAAAATAAATTTAATCCCACAAATAATTAAAAAAATACAACAAAAATTACACTAAAAAAAACTCACATTTTAATAAATAATTAGTCACTTCTCACAGTAGAGTTATTTTAATGGTTATATGACAATAAAGCTACCACTTTTTTGCGCAAAAAAAACAATGGCCATGGCCTTTCTCAAAAAAGTAACAGATATTTAGGGTTGGTTTGGGAGGTGAGTTGATTTTTTGACTTTTTGATTTTTTTGGCTATTTTAGTCTGGGCTAAAAAGTTTGGTTTGGGAAGGAATTTTTGACTTTTTGATTTTTTTGACTTTTTTTGTGAGAAAAGAGTGTAATGATTATAGGTTAGATATGATATTTTGTTTGTTGTTGCTAAAATAGCCTATTTTGTCTTTTGTAGCTATTTTAGCCCCAAATCACCTTCCCAAACATTCAGTAACTGCGATAAGAGCATCCCACCAGTTTTTTAAAATTTTATCTTAAAATATTATTAAAAAAGTTATTTCTTATTTTAGAAATTACTTTTTCATTTATTTCTCCTAACAAACTTTCTATTCTTTCTCTATTTTAATAACAAATTCTTTATTTTTTCTTTATTTTATTAAAATATAATTTTTAATTATAAATTTAAAAAAGAATAAAAATCATAAATGTGTATTACAGTCCCTAAAAAGCAAAAAAAAAAAAAAAAGGAGTTACAGTGACTCCCTACAAATAGCGAGCCACTATAATAAAAACTAATTTAGGAGATTATTTAGTGGAGCTGATGTAGGTGTATAGGGAGCCATTCACCCCTTAAAATAGGTAAAGAGGAGGTTTAAAGGTTCTGGTGGGGATGCTCTAATAATAAAAAGGGATGAATTACACTTTACTTCCTTTAGGGAAATGCTATGTATTCCAAATATTCTACCAAATATTTTATCAAACCTCTTATATGGGGGTGAGACTTACACAAATCCACATATGTGTAGGTCTCACATCCATGTGAGAAATTTGGTAGAATATTTGGAGTCCCTAACCTAACTCCTTTCTTTATGTTTGTCTAATTTCTCACTTTAATCTTTAAAATTTATTTTTTTCCATTTTGACTTTTTATATTTTAAATTTTTCTCAATTTATTCATAAAGCTAATTTTTTAAAAAAAATTAAACAGAAAATATCATGATAATTGTCACATAACATAAAATATATATTATTATATTAGGGTTTGAATTTATATTAGAGGTGCAAATTATGTATAATAAAATATTTTTGTACCACTTAACTGTCAATATGTCATTGTTTAATTTTGAACATAAATTAATTTTAGAAATAAATTGTAAAAAAATTAAAATATGAAAGGCTAAAATGAGAAGAAAAAAAAAAGAACAAATTTTAAGAGCTAAAATGAAAAAATAGTCAAATATAAAAAGGGGCAAAGTATAATTTATCCTAACAAAAAAAGTAAGATTATTTATAATTTTTACTGCTAGCAAATTGTTCTCGCTTATCATAGATATGGATATTTTTATTGAATCATATATTTTTATGTCTTTTATTTTTCATTTTTGTTGCTTTTATTGCTTGGGTGTATTTATTCCCAAGACCCAATATAGAGCACACTTCTAAGATTTGATGTTCATTTTGTCACGTTACACATAGATGACTCATAAAAATAAAAATAAAAAAATCTCTTTAATTTTGTAATCATAACTCATGATTTATGTTCATACGAATGAACAATAATTATGATGAAATAAAAAATAATTATGATGAAACCAAAAAATAAAAAGCCCCAGTTTGGTTTTTGTTGTGGGTTATTAAATAATCATCTATGGACAAAAAAGACTATAAAATTATAAAATGTCAAAATACTTGAGTTGAGATGCAAAATTATCAAATTGGCTCATACACAAACCATAATTCAAAAAAGCATTATTTCCAAGTGGAGGGCAATTTTGTCATTCCAATGCAAAAAAGTCAAAAAAGCCAAATAAAAAAATCAAACAAACAAAAAAGTCTAAGATTAAAAAAGTCAAAAAAGTCAAAAAATCAATGAAAAAAGTCATTGCCAAACGAATCTTAATTATGATGAAATAATGGCAAGTGGTTTGGGGGCTAAAATAGTCACAAAAAACAAAACATCACATCCAACCCATAATCATTACACTCTTCTCTCACAAAAAAAGTCATAAAAGCCAAAAAGCTAAAAAGCCCTTCACAAACCAAACTTTTTAGCCCAGGTTAAAATAGCCAAAAAAGCCAAAAAGTCAACCTACTTCCCAAACGGAGGCTAATTGATTTTTGTTTTTTCTATGTATAATACAAGCTTAACAGGTACATAGCCTTCAAATTGATTTTTGTTTTTTCTATGTATAATACAAGCTTAACAGGTACATAGCCTTCATTTGGAATACAAGTTACTTTTTAGCTATTTTTAGTCTAGGGTTAAAAAGTCTAGTTTGGGATGAACCTTTCAACTTTTTTAATTTTTGCAAGAGAAAAAATAAAATGATTATAGATTGGATGTGACATTTTATCCTATTTAGCTAAAATATCCAATTTTGTCCTATATAATTATTTTAACCCAAAATAGTATCTCAAACATAGCCATATTGAGTTTTTAAAATATTAACACAAAATTTGTTACATCAATATTAGTGATTTGGTTCAAAAAAAAAAAAAATGCTAGTGATTAAACCAAGGCTGTATAGGAACAAACTACAAATGACCCAAAAGTTTTGAAAAATACTAAAATTTAAAGTTGTGTTTGAATATGGATTTACCTAGAAATTTACGGGGGAAAAAACTTATATTTACATACATCTTCACATTTTTATTTTATTTTTTTAATTTCGTATTCAAATTTATGATTCAAACAGAGTTGAAGTAGATGGAAGAGGGAGTTACCAAGACAAAGTTTGATTGAAATAAGGTTGGAACTTGTACAAGTCGATGCTGCAATGAAGACTTTGTTGGAGAAAATATTACCAAATGGGTAGTAGCGATGTCTGATTATCAACCGTTGCATGAAAAAACATCTATATTTCTCTCAACATACCTCTCACCCTTTCTTTCAAAACCAGATATATATATATATGCATATTGGGTCAAAGAAGAAGATTGGATCAAAACGTAGCAGGTGGGGTTTAAGACTTTGAATGGAAATTTGTTGGTGTTGGTGGTTTTGTTTGTTTGTTTGTTTGTTTTTGTTTTTTTTTTTTTTGTTTGAACTAATCTGATGTTGTTGTTGGATGGAACTTGTAAAATTCTTACCAACCTATTGTATAGTAATGTGCATGCATATTGATATTATATAAAATTACAATAACAAAAAAATTCCGGATTTGAGTTTTGTAACAAAATAATTTAAATTCTAAATTTTTGAATTATTTTTAATCTAAACCATTTGTCTATTTTTGTTAAGTAAAATCGATAAAATAAATTGATATTTTAATTATTAAACTCAATGAAAATGATTTTTTAGATATTTTATGTATACATATATAACGATTTTAATGACTAAAATAGTCTCTCTTTTTTTGTTGATTTTATTTAATAAAAATAGACAAATAATTTATATTAAAAATAAATTAAAAAATTTAAATTTAAATTGACAAAGTGAAAAATTTAGAATTTATTTTGTTACGATTTTTTTTTTATAATTATTTCTATGTATTTTTGTTGAGTATTGTATTGATGACTGTTTTGTTGACCATTCGTGGCCGGCGAGTCTGAAAGAGTCAAAAAAAAATAAAATAAAATAAAAAAATAAAAAAATAAAAAAAAATTGTGAATGAAAGAGAAGGGGAAAATGGGTTGGGTCAAATTCCAAGAAATGTGTGATTTCTATAAAATGGTCATGAAATTTCTATGGGCTTCTAAGGAAATAACACAGTTATTCATATGAAAAATGTTACAAGTCCAATTTTAGAGACTCGTAATTAATGAAATGTGGGGTTTATGAGGAAAATAAATTTAAATTATTAATTTCTTTTTTTAAATAAATTCTAGGTTAATAAGGATAAGTTTGTTGTATTATTGTATTTGGGATGTGATTGAGACCCTCTCCAATCACCACCCCACAACCCCACACACATGTGGCGGGTGGTGATTGGAGGAGAAAGAAAAAAAGAAAAAGAAAAAAGAAAAACTGGCCAATCAAAAAAAGAGGGGGTCAAAGGGATGGAGAAAAAAGGGGTCCGGATCATTTTTCTATTATATTTATATAAAAAAAAATTCAAAAATTATAAGGACAATTGCTATAAAATGATATAAGTTGAAAATAATTATAAAAAGATGAAATTACAAGACTTAATTGCACAATTTAATCCATCGGTAATGATACATCCCACTAAAAGTGGTAATGAATTGGCAAGCACTTTAAATAAATAAATAAATAAATAACAAGACACAAGCAGTGGGTCCTGTCCACTGTCACATCACTAGTGATGCTTTTAGAGCACCACTTTTAGTGGTCTCAAGCATTATTGTTTAATCCATAGACCTTCCCATTCCCTCGCCCAGTGAAAGATTAATTGCGATGCGAGTTTCTCCGTTAAGGAAAAGCGAGGTGTCTTAACTGTTATTCTGAGGGATGACCAAGGAAAGCTTGTGGATGGGACTATTTCTTTCATTTTTGCAGCATCTTTCCAGCAAGGGAAAGCTTCTATCATGCGGTTGGCTTGTCGGTTTGCTCACGCCATTGGCCAATCTAACGTCCAGGTAGAGAGTAACAGTAGGACTGCCATTGAGTTTGTGCGTTTCGGAGTTAGTTCCTCCATGGAATTGCAGTGCTTGTATCCATGATATCAAGGGTTATTTGGGGAAGTTGATTTTTAAAAATTTTTTAGCTTTTTTTTTTAAAGCCCGTAAAAAAAAGTAGAGAGAATGATGTTATTTAAAATAAGTTAAAATTTTATTTTGACTTTTTTTAGTATTTTCAAAAGAGGCCTAAGTCTCTGTGCTCCTCTTCTAGCCTTTCCTTTGCTTGGGTTCCGAGGGAGGCAAATCATGTTGCACATTGGCTCGCTTCTAGCCATCTCAAGGGAAGTCTTCCTTTGGATTGGGTTAGCAATCCTCCAGATACATTACTGAGTTTGTTGCTTGTGGATTCTTCGTTGTAGCCCCAGACCATTTACTTGTTCCAAAAAAAAATGCATAAATTATTTGTACTTTCATGACATTACAATTATTTTGCGTTGATACTATTTTTTTTGCAATTCTCCCAAAATTATACAAAAAATATTACAACAGCAATGTGATAATGATATTGTTGTGAATAACACTTAGGATTATTTGTACCAATATTGCTTAAAACTGTTGAAAAGTATCACTTTGACCTCTTAAATTATAAATCTTATAAACTATTGAGAAGTATCACTTTACTCCTCAAATTATAAAAAAAAAAAACGTACAAATTAGATGGGGTCAAAATGAAATACGTTAATGGTTAAAAAGTCTATTTATATGCTTTTATAGTTTAAATGGTAAAATGATATTTTTTAATAATTTAATGATCTCCATGTAAATATTTCTAAGAATTATTTGGATAAATTACACTGAAGTTTAAAAAAATACAAATCATTGATTATGATGATTGTATTGACCTAATTTTTTTTATAAATAATATATATGAAGGACGGATAAAAATGACTTTAAATTATCAAAATAAGACTCGTGATAAATCTTATTAACCCAAACAGCACTATCCAATTCATGGAGATAAGCCAAAATGCAATAAATAATAAATGGAGTAGTTATTTGGTGGTCTTGGGGTATGATCACATGGTGCCCCAGGCGTGTTCTAGTTGATGAAAAAAGTGAGACCTACGATTTTGTATTAGGTGGTTAAAAAACAACATAAGCCATGGCATATGATGAATGGCCAAGAACACAAACACCTGGTGTCCCAGGAATACTAAATAATTTTTCCCATTAAGGGATAAGAAGGACTACCTTTTCTCTCACAGCTCAACTCACCCGTCATTTCTCTCTCCACATCCTTTTCACTTTCTCTATCATTATTTTAAGGGCAAATTACGTATACACCCCTTCAGGTTTGGTTAAATTACAGATACCCCCTGAGGTTTCGGAAATTACATCCCGCCCCCTGAGGTTTGTATTTTCATAACAATTTACCCCCTGAGGTTTATATTTCATAACAAATTACCCCTTAATTTCTTATGCAAATATAGCATTCAGGGGGGAATTCGTAATTTCTCAAACCTCAGGGGTATCTGTAATTTTGTCAAACCTGGAGGGGTGTAAATGTAATTTGCCCTTATTTTAAAAACTCAGTTTGAGTTTTTCGAAATTATTTTTAGTTTTTTTTTTAAATTAATTTATCAAAATATGCACTACAAATAAAATGTCAAAAAAAAATAATGACTTTTTTTTATAAAAAAAATCACCAAACTAATTATTGATAAAGTTTTAAAAAATATATTCTAAAAACTCTATCAATCAGAAAAAGTAACTCAAAAATTATCTCGAATTTAAAATTTACAGTACAGATTTAAATTTTTTGTTCTGAAATCACAATCAAAATAAATCTTGTCACTAAATTTTAAATTCTAAGTATTCTCTGGATATAAATTTGGCAAGTATCATTTTCTTTCAAAAATGATATCTACCCAGTAAATTTTCTGAGTAAATAAAATTGTTGTTTTTCTTTCTCTACATTTCTTTCACCCTCTCTCAATTTTACACATAAAATAATTTTTTTTCAATATTTATTTATTTATTATTATTATTTTTTTTTTATTTTTTATTTTGCAACCTTACCTTTTGCTTGGGCATAAACATGTTGGCTAGTCCAACAGCTAGGCCACTTAGGCAAGGTGCCTTAGGTCTATTGTTTTTGAGGGCCCATAATATTTTGTATGGCTACAGACTCATTGAAAGGCCCTTAATGTTTTTATATTAAAAGCCCATTTCCTCTTTTTCACACGCTTGTTGAGTGACTCTACTTTCAACTTTGTACACCTATTGTAGATTCATATAAAAATCATTCAAGATCACAGTATGAAGTAAAGTAAAGATAAAGTCCTCAATTGAACCTCTATTAAAAACACTCTAAAATATTGTTGAAGATGAGACATCTTTCTATTTTGTTATTGCATTTACCATTTTCAAATCTTTGTGCACTCTGTTGCCATAAAATCCTTGTTTTTTTAATTTTAAATTTTTTTAATTTTTTTTTATGTTTTTCGATTTGGGAATTTCGGCACTGATTTGCCAATCTTAAAAGTGATTAGATTTGTTCCAAAAAAAAAAAAATTCAACAATTGATGTTCGAATATAATGAAATAATTCGACAGTTGATGTCCGAATATAATGAAATAATTCGGCATTGGTTGTCCGACGGAAAACAACGAAAGGAAAAAAAAAATTGCAAAAAAAACTAACATTTTCATCACTAATAGAGTATAAATCTAGAGATTAAAGTAATATGCGAGTTGTTATGAGAGTATTACTTTGTAAGCAATAGATGAGTATAGAGTATGTAGCAAGCAAAGTGACAACAATGAAAAAATTAAGATTTAATTTTTTTTACTCAAAAGGTATACATTGAGATTTTTTTTGTTTTTAAAATATGTACAAAGAATATTTTCATATAATATTATAGGTGTTAGTAGATGTCCATTATGATCATTTTAGTTTAGGGTACAATTACTATTAAAATAATATTTAATTAAGTGTGTGTACTGAGATAATTAAGTGGGTGAAAATAAAATTTTCCAAACTAAATACATATAGAAAACAGATAGATGGATATAAGTTTTGTATAGTAGCCCTGACAAACAAATCTTATAAAATCTTATACGTTCATATAGTTTGTGTGTCTCATTCTTTATTTGATTTCTATTTTTTAGTATTATTATTTTAGACTTCTAAGATGAAATCTTAAATTGTTGTTTTGGGGCCCATTTTTTTATTTTTTATTTTTTTGTTTTTCTTATTGAAAACTCATTGTTATGTTTTATTATAACATGTATTTGTTTGGGCCAAATATATTGAATTTATCAGGCAAAGCTTGTTAGGGATAGCACCTTAAGATTGGCAATTCCATGAATTTTATTGTATT